GGGAATTCGAAGACCACGAAGTGTGTGACTGTTGCATCCGGCCCTCCAGAATGTGGCCCTGGGAATGGAGTTCTGGGAACTCGAAGAGCACGAAGTGTGTGACTGTTGGTGAAAAACGAGCGGGGCCCCCTGCCGCCCGGCAACTCCCAACGCCTGCCCGGACCCCCCTGTGGAGTGATCTGTGAGCTCTTTTGAATCAACTAGAAACCTATCAGTCTTCGCTGTTAGGTAAAGATTCCCCTATATTTTCCTAAATTTTTTGGGTTTCTGTCTTCCCCCCCACTTCCCATATTTTCCTGGGAATCGACGATTAATTGTGTCTGTGTGTGTTTTTCCCCTCCTGAAGCTGCAGCCTCCGTGGAGCTTGCTTTGGGATTCGCTTCTGCTTGCTGCCCGCTCGCCTGCGAGGCTGGCCCCCTCGTCCGAGGCCAGGGCCCGCCCGGGCTCGCCCGCGCTGCGAGCGCAGCAGGCGCCAGCGCACGCAGTTGAAGGGGCCCTGGGACACACAAATACATACACACAGATGAAAAGATTCCCCATATTTTCCCATCTTTTCTGGGTGTCCGTCTTCCCCCCCGGCTCCCAGATTTTCCCCTATTTTCCTGGGGAGTGGGCGATTCATTGTGTCTGTGTGTTTCTTCCCCTCCTGAGCAATGCCCGCCCGCCTCGCCCGCCCCTGGAGCGCCGCGGGCGGGGCAGCGAAGCCACCGGTGTCGCCAGGGGGCCCCCCGCGCCGAGCCGAGGAAGCCGCGCGGAGGCCTCGGATTTTTTTTGTTTTTTTTGTTGTTTGTGTTCGTGTCCCTTTGTTCTTCGTCGAAAATCCCCCCGTTCGGGCCTCCGACTTTTTTTCTTCTATGTTCGTGCCCCTCTGTGCGTGCCCCTGGCCACGGCGGCTGCCCGGTGCTCGCGCCCGCGGGGCCGCCGCCGGGCCGAGCGCGGCACTCGGGGCGGGCCCGCGGGGGGGCCGGCGGCCTCGCCCGCGCACCCGACGCCCCGCCCTCTGCACGAGGCAGCAACCCGAGGCCTCTCTCCGCCCTTCGACGAGCGCTGCACGCCGCCGCGCCGCCGCGCGGCGCCGCAGCGCGAGGCTCACATGAGAGGGCGGAGGGCGGCCGATCCCTCGGCGCCGGGCCCGCCGAGCCATTCGAAGGGTCCCGTCGCCCGCGCCATGGCCTGTCCGCCGGGCCCGCACGCCTGCCCACGCTGGACCCTGACAAGCTTTTCTTGCGGTACAGGCAGCTCTGCACAACCTCAGGGTGACGGCGATAGGCGAGAAGCATGAGTTCGAGCAGGCCTGAGCGTTACACGAGACACGAGACCGGCTCTCCCTAGCTCCGATCAGACCCTGACTGAAGCGGGTTCACCTCTGAGCGACACCTAGGCGGTAATCCAATCTAGGCTGCACGCATGCCTCAGAACAGGAAGCACATTCAACGTGCTGCCATAAGGAAGGCTGAAGTCCCTGGCCCAATGGGCCAAAGGCGTGCTAAGATCTCTGGCAAGAAGTTCTGATCATGCTAGCTCGCGCGCGCGCGTGGCGGCCCCTGGAGGCCCCGAGATGAAAAGTACCCTGCGAAGGTCCGGCCACGAATGCCAAAACTTCTGGGGGATGTCTTCCGGGTCTGAAGATCCCCCCATGAGCGCCCCAAGGGAGCTCCCAGGTGTCCCAAGAGCCGGGAGCAACGGGTGGGAGATCCCGAGATGGGCCGAAGACAGACCTCAGAAGGCTTCATGATAGCGCCAAGATGGTGTCAGACAGCCTCAACAGAGCCTTCAGAGGCTAAGCTTCATTGATGTCCTATCAGTGTTTGGAGGATTTTAACGTCACCGTCTTTTCGAGCTTCCGATTGCCGCAGACGGCTCAAGAGGCCTCAATCCGCCACCGTGCCCCCTGGCACGTTGAGTCCCCCGAGAGCGCTCCAGAGGCTCCCAAGAGGCCCAATGGGGGGGAATCCAAATTCACACGTCGGGCCCTTTCCCTAAAGATGACTTCCGTGACTGCCAGACGTCCACCCAAAGGCCCCCAGAGGCTCCCAAGACCCCCCCAAGAGGCTCCAAGAGGCCTCCAAGATGCCCCCAAGAGGTCCCCACGAGGCTCCAAAAACGTCCCCGCGAGCACGCATGCAAGTGCCAACGACTCTACAACATGGGCCAGCGGAGTGAGCGAAGCGACTCAATTCGGCGGGCCCCCTGCGGGCCCTCGCCGTGTCAGGCTTCGAGACAAGATGATGAGATGGAGGATGCTGGGTGAGAACGAGATTGCATGCGTGAGTGCGTGCTAAGAGCGGCCTTGCGCATTCCGCCAGCCAACTCCCCCCAAATTATCCTGGAGACACGTAACAATACAAGTGAAAAGTGCTCCCAGCGCTAGGCCCACGCGCGTGACAGCTCCTGGGACCGTGAAAACACAAGTGAGATGCACCCTCAGGGCTGCGACAGCGTCGTTCCGGCGCACCCCTCATGCATTTCCTCTCTGACATTCTTCTGGGACGCGAGAAATACAAGTGAGCAGCGTTTTCATGGCTATGACACTGTCATTCCAGCGCACCTCTCACGCATTTGCTGCTCTACACTTTGCTGGGACACGTTAAAAGACAAGTGATCTGCGCTCCGAGGCCGTTCGAAACCCCACGGGAAGCCAACACGGCCCCAAGAAACATTGCGACGATTGCTACCGACCCTCGTCGAGGCTCCATCCCCCGACACCTACTGATTGCAAAATCTGCGTGCAAGCTTCCCCCGAGGGGCCCGCCGTGACTCCCGCTCTGAGGGCCAGTTCCGATCCATTTTGGGGGCACCTCTGAGGGCCCCTGGCGGCCTGTCGGGGCCCTCCTCGGCTCAACAAAAAAACAATGGAGCGGAGGTGTCTGCCCCCCTTGGAAGGTTACGTGCAATAGAGCAAGGAACGCAAGGGCTTTTCTGACCGCGGCGAGCCTCGGCCACGAAGAGGAGGTCCCCGACTTCGATCTACGGAGCGGCCCGAAACCCGGAGCCTGTCCCAAACTCAAAGTGGTCCTTGTTTCGGCGCCTCGACTGGACGCAGGCTTCATAATGGAATGGCTCGACCATGAAGCCGACAAGCTCAGCTCCGAGCGTCGGCTTCTGCACCGTGGCGGCCCCCCCCCAAACTGCAAAACGCACCGACCCGGCACCTCCGGCCCCGAGCGGTCCTCGGGCAGGGAGGCGTCCTCCCGGAAGCCCGGCGGCGAGGTGGTCGCCTGGGGCGGAGTCGCAGAAAAAAAAGACAGCCGCCAGCTCGCAAGTCCCGCCACGCCTCCTCCTCCTCCTCCTCCTCCTCCTCCTCCTCCTCCTCCTCCTCCTCCTCCTCCTCCTCCTCCTCCTCCTCCCCCGCGTGCAGGCCCCGGGAGGAGGCCGAGAAGAGCAGAGGGGCCGCAAAGAGGCTCTGGTCTTGCTCGGCGCCACGTTCCTTGCAGGGAGCCCCCCAGCCAGACCTACAGCAGGGAAGCCGGGAAGCAGGAGGTGGAATCGGAGGGGGATCATGGGACCATGAGGAGGGGGATCATTGGGATCATGAGGATTATGGGGAGGGGGATCATGGGGAGGGGGATAGAAGTAAGAGGAGGGGGATCATGGGGATCACGAGGACCATGAGGAGCATGAGGCAAGGGACGAGGAGGAGGACCAGCTGCAGCGATTCGGTGGGCTTGGGTTGGGCAATTTAGAGGAAATCGTTGTGGTCGGTTCGGGTTTGTTTACCACTTGAAGCATGCTGACGGGCACAACTCCAGCGCGCTCAAGCGCACGACCTGCGATCTCATCACGATCTTCTTTGCCCCCGCATCCGCACTATGTGGTTTACGTCAGACATGTTTCGGACAAAATCTGTTGAAATCTGCGGCATCCCAAGGCGCCCCTCAATTTCAATGTTCACGCTGGGGCAGCGCTCGATGCAACTTTTGTTGCCGTCGGGCGCGGCTGCCTCAACATTGAGAGTTGGGGTCCGAAGTGGTCCCCAGAAACCAAAACAACTGCTTGTTCGGGGCAGTGTGGGACGTCCGTGCTGGAACGACATATTATGGAAATCGTGCACCCCTTGAGCATCGACCTCACCATCGCGAGCCATGGTGAAGGACTCGCTGAGGACGTGAATTGCGCGTCGAGAAGCGCATGGCACCCCTGTGCGAGACTCAAACAACGCCGCGGAGCAGACTGCCGCTGCATGATGCTGGGCGATCCCTTTCGGCATGACTTGGGAAGCACCGCAGGGAAGCCAGCGCTCGCGCTCGCGGGCACGCACGACGACAATCGGCACTGGGAGCGCCACCAGGACCTCGGACCCACGGCCACCTCCCCAGGCGAGCCGCAGGGAGGAGGGAGGGGGGAGCTGGAGGCGGGAGGAGGGGGCTAGGGAAGGGATGACAGGGAGGGGGAGGCCTCCACATCACATCCGGGAGAGAAGACGGGGGAGGGAGGGACAGAGGAGGAGGAGGAGGAGGAAGGAGGCAGGGAGGAGGAGAGGAGGAGGAGGAGGGAAGGAAGAGGAGGAGGGGGGGGGAGGAGGAGGAGGCGGAGGAGATGGAGGGAGGAGGAGGAGGAGGAGGACGGAGGATGGTAGGAAGAGGAGGAGGAGGAGGAGGAGGAGGAGGAGGAAGGAGGAGGAGGGAGGAGGGAGGAGGATGAGGGAGGGAGAGGAGGGAGGAGGGAGGAGGGCAGGAGGGAAGGAGGGAGGAGGAGAGGAGGGAGGAGGGAGGAGGGAGGACTGGAGGGGGAGGTGGGAGGAGGGAGGAGGGAGGACGGGCGAGGAGGGAGGGGGTAGGAGGAGGAGGACGAGGACGAGGACGAGGATGGGGAGGAGGAGGAGGAGGAGGAGGAGGAGGAGGAGGAGGAGGAGGAGGAGGAGGAGGAGGAGGAGGAGAGGGAGGAGGAGGAGGAGGAGGAGGAGGAGGAGAGGAGGAGGAGGAGGAGGAGGCAGGAGAGGAGGAAAGGAGGGGAGGGGGAGGGGGAGGAGGAGGAGGAGAGGAGGAGGAGGAGGAGGAGGAGGAGGAGGAGGAGGAGGAAGTTAGGAGGAGGAGGAGGAAGGAGGAACGAAGGAGGAGGAGGAGGAGGAGGAGGATGCGGAGGAGGAGGAGGAGGAGGAGGCAGGAGGAGGGAGGAGGAGGAGGAGGAGGTGTGAGGAGGAGGAGGGAGGAGGGGAGGTAGGGAGGAGGCAGGAGGGGAGCGCCGCCGCCGCGGAGGGCCCATCCGCAGACCACGAATCTGATGGGCCGCGCGGGTCGGCGGACTGCAAGGAGCGACTCTTCGCGCGAAGGGGCTGCGCGCGCCTGTTGTGCAGACAAGTCGATACACGCGCGGGCGGCGGGCGGCGGCCGCCAGGAGCGACCTTCGCGCGAAGGGGCGCGCGCGCCTGCATTGGCAGCCAGTCGACGCACCGGGAGGAGGAGGAGGGGGAGGAGGAGGAGGAGGAGGAGGAGGAGGAGGAGGAGGAGGAGGAGGAGGAGGAGGAGGAGGAGGAATGAGGAGGAGGAGGAGGAGGAGGAGGAGGAGGAGATGAGGAGGAGGAGGAGGAGGAGGAGGAGGAGGAGGAGGAGGGCGCGCCTGCACTGGCAGCCAGTCGACGCACCGGGAGTTCACGGGGCGCACGCAGTACTCGCTGCCGTCCCAGCTCTGGCGGAACTCCTGCGGCTCCTTGGCCATGGCCTGCCGCGGGGCGCAGGGCCTTCCCTGTCCGTCCTCCTCCTCCTCTCGGCGGTGGACAAACCTCCCTTTCGTAAACCTCTCCTTAGTGAAGACGGCCTGGGACCGAAACCGACGGACCTGGACCCGCAAAAATGACGGCCGCGACGCCCTCTCGCGAACCGAAAACGGCCAATTCCTTAATCGACGTGTCAGGGGAGGAGGTCTATCCACCTCCGATCCTCCTCCTCGGCCCCCTCCGCCGAAGGCGAGCCAGGCCCGCCACCCACTCCGCCCCCCGTGGGGGCCCCCTGGAGTCCGGGCCCTGCATGTTCTTCACACTCCGGGCGTGTTCGCCCGGCTGCGAGCCCCCGGGAGCACCACGGATCGATCCGGCCCGAAAGGTGCCGCAGAAAGATGGGGTCCAGGGCTCCGGTCGTGATTTTGCGAGATGTTGTGCCTCTTTCCGCAGCGTCGGATCTCCGTGTACGTCTACGGCAGGTTCGTGTCGTGGCGACCCCGGCGTCGGTCTCTGGCACCGCGCGTATCGTTCAATCTTGAGCGATCGGCGGCCTTTCGATCGCGAGATCGTTCCACATCGGCCGATTCTGGGCCACTGGTGGCGTTCAGCCTTGAGCGCCCGCAATTTTTTCGCAAAGTCGGATCTCAAGGGTTTTGGGGGGCCCTTCGGGCGTCCTTCGATCGCAGGGGCAGGAAGGCTCCGGGGAACGTCCGTCTGCCGCGCACAGCGGGCGCTGGGGCAGCGGGCCCTTTGGCGCGCTCGACTTCTGTTCTGCCCTTCCCGCCCCTCCTCGGCACGTTGCGCTCATCATCAAAACGTGCAGAAGCGTCGAAGCGTCCTCCCCCTTGCGATGATCCTCAGGGCGTGCGTCAGCGCAAGCGTGCGCTTGTCCGCCGGAGCCCTTCGATACGACGGAGGCGGTGTAGTGAAGGCCGACACAGACTGCGTGCCATCGGCGGAACTGAACAGGGCAAGCACAGATTGGGCGAACACACGTCCCAAGGAGCATAGACCCTTGAAGGGCCAGCCTTTCCCTTGACGCTCATCCAGGCACCTGTCCATCTGGGCACTGGCCAGCTGGCGGGGTCACCCTCCTGCTTCGAACCATCTCTTTTTGCCCATGACCACTGGAAGGCACAAGGGGGCCTAAGAGACACTAGCAGGATTCAGAACCACGGCGCTTGTGAGTTTGCTTGACCCTGGTAGGCTTGTCCCCTCGGTACTAGATTTGTCTCCATGAATTCGCAACATTCGTGACCTGTCTTGCTTGTTCAGACACTGAACTTGCTCTATCTGCGACACAAGCGAGACGTGAGGCTCCTGTGATACCAAAAAGCTCTGAGTTTCACCTGGGTCCGTGCCAACCCTGCTCCATCCTGCTCCAAAAACAGACCCCCTCTTCTACCCAACCCCGCCCTCTCCCACTTCCGTGAAATAGTTAAGGAGGGTGGAGGGGGGGGCACCCGAACCAAACCTCGAGCCGCACAAAAGGGTCGGATTCGTTTGCATGGGCTTTGAACACCCTGGCCCTTGGTCTCCTGTATGAAAGCGGCAGCCCACAGTTGCGACGCGATCAAACCAAGACCATGGTCACAAAAGACACCGCGTCGGAACGCACACAAGCAACATTGACATGGCTGTTGAAGCCAATGAAACTAGAGGAACAAAACATGGCATACAAAAGAATTTTGGGGCTCGGCGCGAAGCTCCAGCAAATTTCATATCCACGCCCATTTTGTTCTTCGAGATACGAATGCTGAGCGGTCAGATGCGATATTCACCGCGCAAGCGCCGAAGGGACCTGCTGCTGCATGGCAGACTGCAGCGCCTGAGCAGCTGGCTGCACAACAGTGCAGAAGACACCCTCGCGAGTAGCACCGCGTGGTCGAACGCAAACTCCATACTCCCAGGTGGATTTTCCTGCTCCTCCTCCTCCTCCTCTTCCTCCTCCTCCTCCTCCTCCTCCTCCTCCTCCTCCTCCTCCTTCGCCTCCTCATTCTCTGCCTCTCCCATCCAGTAGAAGAAACCTCCAGACCCCCCTCCCTGGCGCGCGAAGCGCACGAGGGGGTGCCAGAGGTGCCTCCAGGGTGGTCCAGAGCCGATCCAGAAGCTCTGGGCGGACCTCCAAAAGTTAAGACCTATGCGCAGTTTCTTTCTTCTTCGAGACCAGGGACAGGTTCGTGCTCCTTCGAGACCTCCTCCTCCGATTCCTACTCATCCTCCTTCTCCGCCGCTCCCACCGCTTATCCTCCTCCCTTTCCTCCGCCTCCTCCTCCGCCTCCTCCTCCTCCTCCTTCCTTGACGCGGCGCTAGCGCGTCGAACTGCTGGGCGTTCGCCAACAGGCAGGCGAACACCAAAACTAATGGATTTTATAAGGGCTCCGTGGCACTGCCAGCGACTCAGCCTGGGCCGAGGGGTCGCCCACGAAGGTGCGACTTTGCCTCGACGCCAGACTGCAGGCGGGCGCGCGAGCTCAGCGCGCGGGCCAGCCGGCGGCGGCGGCGGGGCGGCCCAGCCGCGGCGCCCAGCGGCCTGGGGTTCGGCCCGGCGCCCGGTGGCAGCGGCGGGGCGCCGGCGGCGGCGGTGCTGCGGGCAGAGCTCACGCTGTGCCCAGACGGGCTGCCGCCGCGGCGTGGGCCTCCCCGCCTCGATGTCCAGGCCCGTGCGCAGTCCAGTGAGGATGGCCGCCGCCAGGAACTCCTCCCACGCCGTGCCGTGCGCGGGCTCGCGGGCCGCTGCCTCGGCGTGGCGGCAGCCCTCCAGAGGGTGGAGCCCCTGGCGGGGGATGACCTCCCCACACCGTGGACACGTAGCTCGGGAGGCGGTCGTGCGCACGGTAGGGCGGCCCTGGAGGCGCAGCTGCGCCCACGATGGCTGACCACGGGGCCGATGTCGTGGTCGCCGCATGGATCGCCGTGCCGTCGCCCCGCCGTGGGTAGGCGGCCGCCTCGCGGGTGCGCCATCCCAGCTTGACCTGTCAGCCGGGGGTCGACGGCCTCCGTGGGGTATGTGCGAATGGGCCGCTTCCTGCCCGCCCGCGCCAGCGCGTGTGCGGGCTCCTGGTGCATGCGGGGGGACCACGTCGAGTACTTGGGGATGGCGTAATCCTCGAGGTAGGCGCGCAATGTCCACATCCACGTGGGGGCCGTCGGCGCCGCAATATGCGCAACCCAGCTGGGCTGGGATCCCGGCGCGGTGGACTCGATCCTAGCCGCCAAAGCCGCCGCTGCTCGGAAGGTCTGTGTGGAGAGTCGCCGCGGGAAGCCGAGCTCCACGAGGAGGAAGATCCTCGGCATGGGAATGTCGATGTCCAGGAGGCGACTGGCCCACCAGTCCTGGACAGCGTTCAACCGCGCCTCCCAATCGCGGCGGACGATGAGGAGGGGCGCCGCTCAGCACGCCTGCGGTCGGACTCTGGCGTCCAGCGCACGAAGGGCCACCGTCATGGGCAGCCCGAGGAGCTCCAGGGCCGTGAGGAGGGCCATCCAGCCTCGCATTGCGGCGTGCTCGACGTGCTGCATGAGCGCCGTCACGCGCGCACCCCAGTCGATGGGGACGCCCACGTACGTGTGCTCATCGACGTATACTGCGCGCCGTCGTGCGGGAGGCGGGTGCGGAAGCCTTCTGCCAAGCATTCCGTCTTGCTCGGCCCGTGGCGGATTTCCGCACGCAAGCTGCCCGCCGCGGCCTGCAGCGCCCGCGCGCCCACGGCCTGGGCACCCCATGAGGAGGATCGCAGGGCGCTGTCATCCATGAGCTGCGCCAGGCCGACCTTCGTGGGGGCCGCGGCGTCGACGATCCAGAGCCTGTCGGCGTCGGAGGCGGCATCGGTCATGACCTGGTCCCAGCTCTTCTCCCCCGCCGCTGCCGCCCTCGCCGCCTCCTCGGCCGCCGGGCTCGGTCGCGCTCGGTCGCACCGCCCGTGCCGCGGCGGCTCCAGTGGTACGCGCGCACAGCCTCCCCCGGCTGGTCGAAGCCCACGCCAAGGTGGGTCGCTGCATGGCTGAGCGCGCGAAGCAGGCGGGCGCTAGCCGCCGCCCCTCCGGCACGCCTGTAGTGAGGGGCTGTGGCGCTGCGGCGACGTGGCCGGAGGTGGCGCCAACGGAGGAACCGTGGATCATGGCTGCAGCCAGCGCCCGGTCTCCGCGAGGTCCATGAAGTACTCTCCGTAGGGGAGGTGGTGGCTCTGCCTGATGGTGCGCGCGTCGATGGCGACGTACTTATGCTGCGACGAGCGCGTCCCCCCGGCCAAGCTGGTCCTCTCTCGCCCCATTGCAAGCCACGCAGCCTCCTCCGCTCCGATGGCCCACACCTTTTCTGGCCCCTCGCCCTTCCAGCGTGTTGATGCTCAGCGTTCTGTAGCTGGGGTACAGCTGGAGCGACTTTCTGAGCTTGCGCTCGTGGAACGTGGGTTGCATCTTCCACAGGCGGGGAAGGACCCTCAGAAAGCGGGCCATGCTCTGCACTGCCAGGAGGAAGGTGGCGTGCGCCGGGGCAAGCAACTCCAAAGCTCGCGTACGGGAGCCCCGCGCTGGCGCGGCTGGTCTTGACCCTGTCGGTGGCCTTCTGGAGCTGCTCCGCAGTGTAGCCCCGGCTCGGAGAACTGCCGCGCACCGGGCCGCCGTCGCCCGGAGCTCCTCTGCGTCCATAGGGGAACAAAAAGTGGCATAAACATAAAAACTCGGAGGTCCGCGCGGATTTCTCGGATCGGCGCTGGACCCCCCTCCCTGGCGCGCGGAGCGCGCCAGGGGCGGCGCCGGAGGCGCCGCCAAGGGACCCCAGCGCGGATCCGAGAAATCCGCGCGGACCTCCGAGTTTTTATTTTTATGTAATTTTCCGTTCCCCCAGTCCAACCCCAATCGCTGGACTCGGTCTTGGCCCCGCTTCGCGACGTATTCCGCGGCCCCGATGAGGACCCCGTCGCCGCGGATCATGGTGGTGGCCTCCTTCGGGCTCTGCATCGTGTCAGGAAGCCCCACGCCGCGCTCGCGGAGCGGTCTGCTGA